CCGATTGCCTGGAGGGCTGCCAGAGGCTGCGGGCATCCCAGGGTGCGGTCCCTCCGGAGCGCGGGATCCCCGGGACCCAATAACCCGCGGCCAGCGGAGGCGGAAACCAGGCCTCCAGCTCGGGTGGCAGGTCGGCAGCGTCCTGCAAACTTGAGATCACTTTGAGAGTGATCAATGCCTGCGGTGAACTATTCGAAATGTTTTCCTTTTGAAAAGTCGATGCGAAAGGCTTTTTCTCTGCAGTGAGAGTGCGCGCGCTTGAGGGAGCAGCTGGCCTGGCAGCCGGGTTCCCTCTCTCGCCGCAGCCCAGCCCGGGGAGGGGTCTCCAAGCCGAGCAATCGCACTTTCTGGCTAATGACGAGGGAGGGCAGCTTGTCTCGGGGAAGATCAGAACGATACTATGTAGGTGAAGCCTTAGAAAAAACCTGCTTCCAGTAGGTTTTTGCTGGATGGTGTCCGGGTTTGGACAGAAGGCCTGTTCTTTGAAATATTAACAATGGTTTGCAGTGGGACAAAGGGCACGGAAATGCAGACTAAGGTTCCGGTTCCAGGAACAGAAAGCATGTTCCAGGGACAGGGAGTAAATTCAAAGACGTTGGAGCTCTGGCGACTATTTTTATTTAACTTTGAAATTTGTTTACCCAACGAGAGGCCGTGCCTTTGGGTTGATAGCAAAACAAGTTAGACTTGTTTTGTGCGTAAAAAACTGAAACCCGTGGCGACCCAGCTGTGGGTAAGAGATTTCAGGTAAGAGGAACCCCATTGCTGGCATTTTACCTCTGGTGGTGCCCTTAAATATTCTCACCAAAAAAAGTTTCATTTGGAGGACGGACCAGACAGCTCAACTCCACAAACAGAACCAAAGCGCGTTTGTTTGCCATCCAGAAGTTTTCTCGTATTTGCTAACACTTGTTTTACTTGCAGCTTCTAGGTTGGATGTCCTGATTAAATGGCTTTTTCTAAGACTTCCTGTTTTACATGATGTTTGTAACTGATGGGTTTTTAATTCTTCTTTTTCCTCTTCTTGTTCCTCTTCTCCCCATCCTCTTCCCCTTTCTCCCACCCCTCCACTTCCTTCCCCTCCTCCCCGTCCTTCTCCACCTCCTCCTCCTCCCCTTCTCCCCCTCCTTCCCCTCCTTTTCCTCCCCTTCCTTCCCCTC